ATTATAAATTATCCTCAAAAAGCCCTTTTTTCCCAAAAAGTTCCTAAAAATTTTTCCTCATAAAAAAAACTGAGAAATAGCCAAATATCCCATTTTATCCAAAAAGTAAAATTTTTACAATTCTCCAAACGCAACTTTTTAAAAAAAAAATTTCCTTAAAACAATCTTATTAAAAAAACGGATCTATCATCCTAATAAGTACAATCCCATTCTTACAAGCGGAAAGTTAATTTTTCGCATTAATAAAAGCCTTAGAATAATTCTCTATATTGGCCGAAATAGTAAAAGTACTTGAAGAATTCACAAAAAAATTATAATAATTACAAAAAGTGTTCTTTTTTTTATATTAAAGTAATTTTTTGTCTATTATATTCTTAAAATCATCCTTATTATTTATAAAACAGAATAAAATTTATCTCCATTCTGACATACATAGCCTATAAAGTACTTTTTTTTTATTCTTAAGTCTTTTTCACTAGTATAATCTATATCAAGTTCTATATTTTTTTATTTGCTAATATTTTAGAAAAACCCGAGTACTTATTAAACATAAAAAGGGTTTTTTTTCCTATAAATTTTTTCGAAAAAGACATGAAGTTAATTTAAAAAAAGACTAAAATTAATAAAATAAGCATCTTAATTTTAAGAAAAATTATTCTGGAATAAATTCTCCTCATTTTTCTTAAAAACCTCCTCAAAAGATTCACAAAAATCCTTATTAAAATCTATCAATTTATGTAAAATAAAAGGAACTATATAATCATTAAAAAACTCAAGTCCTTATTATTAAGGAGCCTCTTTTAAAATAATTTAAACTTCCTCAAAAATCCTATTTTTTAAACTTGTATTTAATATACGGTTCATTACACTTTCTTCTTTTCGAAAATCTAAATATATTTCAGCCTAAATTTTAGATGGGAGTAATTATATCATATCAAAAAATGAGATTTTTAAATTTTTCATTTGTAAAATTAAATAGTCAAACTTTTGTTAGATTTTTATATCTTTTTTGGATATTGTTTTTAATATTTCTTGGTATTTTTATATTGATTTTATTTCTTATTAATCTTTTTCCATTTAAGGCATTTTTTAATATTACTATACTATATTTATTTATGCTTATTGTAAAATGTTTTAATTGTTTTTAGATTTAGTTTATATTATTTCAGGAAGAATCTATATTTATTAAGTATTTTTATTCCTTTATTCTATCTATTATTTTAATAGTTTTAACTTTTCCATATATTTTTTATATCTCTTAGTAGTATATATAAAGGATTTTTTCTTTAGTAAAAAAAATAAAATAAAAAATTTTGAATTAAAATTTGCTAAAAAACGCATAAAATTTTTTCATTTTCGTTTTTTTAACAAAAAATAAAAGAAAATTTATTTTAAAATACATAAACGCATTAAATTTTGAATCTTAAAAGTATATATCAAACTATTAAATTATCTTTTAGTATATATATTCTTGTAATCTGTTTTATATAGAAAGATTAAACTTTATACTAATTTAAAATGAGAAAAATATAAAAAGATAAAATTTGAATTTACATATATAAATACTTCTAATAAAAAAGACAAGAAATTATATTTATTATAAAAAAAAAATCAATTATTTTATTAAAATAAATAAAAACAAAGATAATTTAAATAATTTACAAAAAATATTTAATATTTTTAAACGTGTTAATAAACAATTTCAATTTATTTGACTATAACCATTTAAAAAATTTAAAAAGTCATTATTTTCAATAGATAGAGATATTAATATAACTAAAAAATTAATGGGTTTCTAACAATTTTTTAATATAAATGAAACTCTAAGTACATATATATCCTATTTTTATAATAATGACTGAAAATTGCCTCAGTAATATATTCAGAGTATTAAAATATGTATATGAGAATAAATATTTCCTGTCAAGACTATGTATTTTTTCACCATAATTATAAAGAATTAGTTTATCTTTAAAAAAAAATATAATATTTTAAGTTATCGAAAATCATTTTTTTTAATAAAAAACAAAAAAATTATTGAATTTACTAATTTTTCGAACTAAATTTACACACAACTTCTTAATAATATTAATCAAAAATATTATATTGTAATTTAAACTTTTATATATATAATAAAAAATAGTAAATAGAAATTTAAAAAGGGTGACTATAATAACAAAATTATCTTTATTGCTTTAAAAATTATTTTAAAAAATAACATAAGTATATTTTTAATAAATTTAATTTTGAATTATTTATTTATATGTATATATCATTTATATATATCTTTTTTTATTTATTAAAAAATTATTTATTTTAAATAGTAAATAAAAAAATATTTAAATTTCCTTTAAAAATAAAAATTAAATATTATTCAATATATATTAATGTAAATAAAACAAGTTATTTTATTTATTTAATAATTGATTTAATTAATTATAAGTCAAAAAATACTTATTTTAATAAATAACATAATAATTTATAATTGATAAATATTATGGTTAATATTTGTACTAAAAAATAATATACTAATTAATATATATAATTAATCGAATTAATATTACAATATGTAAATATTGTTAAGATAAAAATATATTATTAAATTTTTATTATAAAAAAAACAAGTAAATAATAAAAACAAAAAGCTAAAATAATTATAATATATAAACATAAAAAATATTTAAAAAAACAATTTAAAAAAGAATTAAATAATTTAAATAAATAAAATACATATAAAAATATAATAATTTAAAAATAGTTGACATAAAAAGTCTCTTATATTTATTTTGTAAAGAAAAATCTATATGCAAGCAATAAATTGCATGCCTGGATTCATACATAAACAATATCCAGTTCCTAAGCTGAGTTCAGTTTAAAATTGTCCTATTCTTTATAGAAGGAGAAATTATTCATAAAAATGTAATTTACTATATATATTAATTTTAAATAAAAAGAATAATAGTAAAAAAATAAACATATATTTTTTTTTTTTAAATATTATTATATTATAATTAATAAAAATAAAAAATATTGTAACAATTTATAAAATTTTTATAAATTAATATTTTTTATTTATTTATAAATTTAATATAAATATATATTTCTTAGTTAATTAAAATTAATATTAATATTTTTTATTAAAAATATTTTATTAAAAATAAAAAAATTAGAATTATTAATAAAAACTATTATTCGATTTAATGAAATTAAGTATTTATTTACTATTTTTATATATATAGATTATAATAGCATAAAGTTTTTAAGTATATATATATATATATAATTTTATTTAAAAAATAGCTTGTCTTTTAATTAATATCTGTAGATATTCAATGTAATTAATTAAAAAGATAAAAGTAATTAATTAAAATTTTAAAATTTTTAAAAAAAAATTATTAATAATTTAAATTTTATATAATAAATAAATTAATTATATTTTAAATTTTTATTAAATATCTAAACTAATATAATTTATTTTAAATATTATGTAATAAAATGTTATAAAAACAAGAAATATTGAAAATAAATATAAAATTTTATTTTATAATAATAAATATATTTTTTTATTATAAATTAAAAATAAGATTTAAATTTAAAATTTATTAATTTATAATTCTATTGATAAAATAATAAATTAAAAATACAATATTTAAAGAATTATTTCTTTATTTTTAAAAATCAATTTAATTATTTTACATTAAATTATAATAATTTTTAAAAAATAATATATAATTAATAATTTTATATTTAATTATTTATATAATATTAGTTTTTTTATAAAACGAAAAAATAATGATTTTATAAAATATTCATGATGAAATAGTCTTTGAAATAATAAAATATTTATAAATTTAAGAAATATTTAATTTATTATTATCATCCAAAGCATTTTTCCATTTATTTACAAAAGACTACCTTTATAATATAATGTGCCTGCAAAACTATTTCGAACATCCTCTTGTATATGAAAAAAAACCACCAAACATGACATATAAACAATATTTTATCGAGAACATTCAAAGAATATAAAAATACAAAAAAATATTGAATAAAGTAATAAACTTATACACTGAAAATGAAAACTTTAATTATTTTAAAAATTACTAAAAATAAAAAATATTAATAAATGATTTTTAAAAAACCAATGAAATTATAAGCATAATAAACTAATATTACACCTAAATACCAAAAGACGTTTTAATTTTATTTAGATTATTAAACGGTTAATAAGAATTAAAAGAAACAAATGCCGAAATATTTTTCCATTAAGGAATTTTTGGTGCAATTTAATATTACGGAACATTTTTTATTTATGATTTTTAATAATTTCAAAAACCATTTTGTACCTATTTATAAAATTTAAAGGCACTCCCCTTTTCCAAAATATACCCAATTTAAAAAAATTTATATATAGATGTATCTAATAAATTAGGATTTGGAAATTAATCTATATATGTATTATGCGAATAATAAAATTAAGATTTATATATTTATATTTTGCATAAAACTATAGACTCTTTTATGTAAAAATTTAATAATTATAATTGGAATTAATAAGAAGGATACTGGGATTAATTTGATACATTAAATAACCCAGGCTCAGATACTACTACCTAAGGCATTCGTATAAGATTAACTGCAAAGTAAATACATATATATAATTATTTAATATATAGTTAGTTATATATATTTCTAAATTGTTTTTTTTTTAAATAAATATATATTTTTTTAAATAATATAGACATGTTCCATATGATAAACATAATTGTATCGATAGTTTTTTTTATTCTTATTCTATTAGAATATCTTCTAATGGTATTCCACCTAATAAAAAATATTAACTTTTGTCAAGAAAATGGATAATAACTAATGATAAAGAACCTAATAATCCTGAAATTATAAAGGGTAAAGGAGTTATAGGCTATTATCCTATTATATTCGAAAATTGTGAAGATTTTATTTATTAAAGTTGTTGTTCTATTGAAGGCTTTACTGGATCAATGTAAGGATCATTTACTTTTGAAGATATGGAAACACATGAATTAGTTGAAGCTATAATCGATGAATGTCTCTTAAGACCAGATAATGATTCTGTACTTTTAAAATATGACCCTTAAAATAAATAAAGGATTATTATTTATCCTTAAGGAATATGAAAAAAATTAAAAAATTTATTAAATAAATACTTAAATATTTTTAAAATATTAAATAATTATAAATTAAAAATAAAATAAATGATTTTTTTTTTTTTTTGAAAAATAAATAATATAATAAATTAGCCTTTTATTGATTTTTTTATTTTTTTCATATATTTGTTAATATTTGATTAATATTATTAACTTTTTATATTAACAATTCATTTACTTTTGATAAGCATTAAGGTTTATAACCTATACTATACAATTCTTAAACAGTAATTTATTAATTATTTTAATCAAAAATAATATTTTTACCTCCAATATATAAATTTAGCCTGTTTTAACTTTATTTACACATACTAGATTTGTTAAAAAAATAGACTATACGCATTATATAAAATTATTTTTATTAATAATTTTATTCACTTTAATATAAATCATATCATAATTATTTTCAAAAATAGTACGTATTATTTAATATGAGAATCCTTCCTATATAACTTCTTAATATAAAATATTTTATTCAATAACATCTAAATCAATTAGGAAAAAGTCTTTTTTAAATTTAAATTCAACATTCTCTAAATAAAATATTAAATTTTTAACGTTCTTGAAAATACTTTTTGTAGAAATATATTAATTATAGATATTTGTTTTTACAATATTTAGTTAGTCTAATTCATCTTCTTTTGAATGGTTTTACTTAATTAATTTTTAAATACTATTTAGTAATTCTTAAACTTTGTTTTATTTCTTTTTTAGAATAACTTCTTAATCTTTATATAGTAATTAACTATTTTAAAAAACTAGAAACTCATTAGAATTTTCACCCTGAATAATTCCAGTTAATAAATTATAATGTATTAGTTAATTATTTTCGTAATCATTTTATTCATATTCATGTTCGGTTCTACAAAATTAAATTTTTTTTATTGATTATCCCATTATTTTTAAAAATTTTTTAAAACAAAAAAAAAGTTAACTATGATTAATTTATATTTTTTAAATTTTGTTATAATAAGTATTTAAATTATACATAATTTTAATTTTATTATATTTATACTTTTAATAAATTTTTTAATTTTAATATATAAATTTATTTTTTTATTTAGAAATTTCCAAAAAATAAATATGTAATTATTTTTTACTTAGTCATTATTTATTGTATATTTTAATAAGTAAATTCTTATAATTCTCATTAAATAGTGTATTTCTTTCTAAATATAATATATATTTAATATTATTTTATAAATTTATATATTTATACCTGATTTTTTGTAATTATTTTAATAAATTGTTTCAACAAAATTTTATATTTCTTCAGTTACATAATTTTATTTGATACAAAAAGCATTAATGTTTTAAATTCTAAATATTTTTTATAATTTTTCTTTATAACTATAATCTAAAAAAACACTTTTATATTTTTCTATAAAGCTAAATTTTAGATACATTCAAACAAATCAGCCATTCTATTATTTATTTTTATTTTTTAAAATATATATTTTCTTTTATATTTTACTCATTTTTATAAATAAAAAAAATATATTAAAAATGACTTTCTATATTTTATTTTAACTTGCTATATATACTTTTAAATCCAAAAATAATATTTTTTGAATTTAATTATTTCTAAAAAATATCTAATAATTAATCACATTCTTATATTTATAATACATATCTTTTTTTAAAAAAATAAAATAAAAATTCTTTTTAAAAAAAATTTACGGATTTGTATAATTTTAAGCATAAAATGAAATCTTTTAAGATTTTTTGTTTTATTTTTTCATCTTTTTATTTATTTATATAATTTATATTAAAAATAAAATAAATATAAAAAAACATAATTAATCAATCTAATTAGACAAATAAATATAATTTATATTGTTATAAATTAAATTAAATATAATATATAAATAATTCAAAAAACTTAAATTTCATTTTCTTTATTTTAAATCAAAATATTAATTAAAAATATTAATATTTTAAATATATCATATAAAAATTTTAAGGATTTTTTTTTATATATAATAGTTCTTATTTTTCTTTATATAGTGTTTTTAATAAAAATTATATATATCGTTTATTAAAAACCATTTCTATTAACAAATTATATTTAAATCATCAAAAATAAAAAACTATTTAAAACATTATGTTCTTTTATTTTTTAAAGGATCTTTAAAAAATGATAACATAATTTATTTTTATTATATGCTTAAATGTTAGATAAGATTCTATAGACGCTGAAATCACTTTAACTATAAGTAACATATTAGATTTATAGAATGGATATAATAATTTAATTTTTTTTTTTAATAATGAAATATGTAAAAAAGATTATTTTTTCTAAATATTTTAAAATCATTTTTGACATTTAAATATAATAAAGATATAAAGGAAAAATATCTATTTATTTTAAGTTTTATTGCAATTGAAATTGCGCTTATTTATTTTAAAAAAATAAAAATATATCAAATATATTTTTTAACAGATTAATTTATTAATATAAAAATATATTTTATTATAAAAATAATTCAAATTTTTAATTAACAATATGTAATTATTTTATTTAAAAAATAAATACTATATGTTTTGAATATAAGGATTTATAAAAACATATTTAACATATAAATATATATATATATATATATATATATATTTAAATTTTTTTATTTTTTTATATTTTATTACAAATTATTTTATAAAATTTTTTAATTTCACAATCTTTTATTTTAATATTTTAATAACTTATTA